CACAGACGACCTCGGTGGTGGCGAAATGCCCCAAACACGCGGCAAGATCATCACGAGAGGCGAGAGGGGGGGTGTGGCGGTTGGACACAGATGAAAGGACAACCTACGCGGCCCTTTGGTATAATTTACCATAAACAACAACATAAAAGTACGCTTGAGAAATATAAACTCCTAAGGGAGAACCTCTGATACGTTAATATTTGTCAACGCAAGTGTGAAGATGCCAAACGCCCGGGAAAAAAGCTGCAGCTGATGCTCTACATTCGTCGGAAGTAGTTGCAGAATCCTTTAGCATTCGCATTTGAGAATTACTCGAAGAGGCATTGACACAAGAACATAAAGAGCGAACCTGACTTGATGGCAGGTTTCCACAGAGCGATACATGTTCGGCAATAGGTCTTATTTTCTTTTGGAAACATACATACTGGCTAGGAGGGATTATTGTCTACAACAGGCTATTATTATTAATTATTTGCGCTGCTGGAAGTCAGATCTCCTTATGCGGGCTCGAAACCAAAGCATGAACCGTCACTGCCATTAAGACACAAATGCATCTCATCTAAAAAGGATAACTGCACAGTGGGCGCATCGAAACCTGGCACTAGTTAACGAACGCATCTTCCTGAAAACAATCTTTTGTGGTGACAATGGTGATTGTGGAGTGGTCTAGCAATGAATTCTCCGAAACTGCGGTTCATTGCTTAGTTGTTAAATGATACAGCGCGTATAGAGACCAGTAAGATGAGTCAATTCCCCAGTCTCATCACTAGCTGATTGACAGCTATGGCAGAGTGAAAAGAGAATAAGGCCTACACTGGGGGGGGCTTCCACTCTCACGACACGTCACTACATGCTTCAGGTTTGGAAGACTGTCCATTGACAGGAGACTCAGCTCCCATCATAACTTTTTTGGGGTGAGCGGAGGTCTGGGAGTCAGGCTGCAGGAACTTGTTCTTAGTGTGGCATTTATGGCGGCCATAATGAAAGATTGGGTTGGTTAAAATTATCAGCCACTGCTAGCACGCCCACCTTTAGTTGTCTTGACGCTGGCTTGTCGTCGGAGCTACGTGATTGGAGGAGGCTAGAGTTTGATAGGTGCTGTGCAAGTCTGCCTAACTAGAAAAAAAACTGGGCTGAAGCCGTCCATTCACGGGACAAAACAGTGGACGCCGAAGGTTAAACTTCGGTTTCCCAACGACAATGGCTAAGGGGGGGAATATTTTTACAGGCTCAGTTACTGACAGATTGCAGATGCTTCATCACTACCTGGCCTTTGGTTTCATGAGGTCAGTTAAACGTTGGTTGGAACCTCTCCAAGTTCTACACTTTTAGGCATCTTAAATTTAACAGCTGTGCATAGGTTAAGCATAATAAAAACAGCTATAACGATCCGGTTTAGTTTTCTTCTGCCATTAAGTAAACTCCAGCAACAGTAGAAGTAAAAGACCAGAATGTCCGAAGAAAAAACGAATTCCAGTAGCCCTTTGCGCCACATCTTGCGGGTGGTTTCACTTCACCAGACGTCTCTGTTCACTCCGGATCCAAGGGTCCTCTATAAATTTGGCTTTGGTGACTTATATTTGATTACATTGTGACAAATGAACAAACGTAAGTCGACTGTGTTTAGCCTCCACACTATTCAGTCACCAGACGATGACCGCCACCGCAACTGCGATGAGTCAAGAACAGTAATCAATATCTATATTACCGTGCAAGTTGAAGGCCACTTGAAACAAACTACTTCCTTCATTCTCCTGTGAATGAACCATCCAAATCATCCACTTCCTTTGGCAAGCGGCAAGACAGAGGGCTCTCTGCCCAGATAGACCTACACATCCCTATTCAATGATTAAGCCGCGGCGCACGTGTGAGTTCAAAAACCAAACTGCCTGCATCTTGCTGCTTTCTCACCGCCGTAACTGACCTTGCAGCTTTCGCAGAGTGATCGGCGGACGGTTCGCCAGCAGGCTGGTCCATGGCCTCTGAATTGCTGGTGGCAGAGAAGGCTGAGTCAGGCAGGGCACTCTCGCGGAGCAGGGGCTCGTCACACTCGGGCTGTTGGTAGGAGGAAAGAACCTCGGCGGTTGTAGGAGCAGCGGCAGACGCCCATTGAAGAAGACCCAAAAGGAGATTGGCGATCGAAAGGAATAGGAAGAACGGCTGCATCGCTGTTGGTGGAAGGGAGATAAAGCAGGAAATAATCGCGTTAGTGGACAATTTCAGGCAACTCTAAATTGATATCAGTGGAAGTAAAGCACATAAACTCAACGAAAACATTGAGATATATAACGTGTAAAAAGCAGAGGCGCTAGAGTCTCGAGAAACCCAATGTGAGCCTCGAAGCGTGCACAACTTCCATCGACGGAACCAGTCAGCTGTATGAGTCTTCTAATGTTAGGACTGGATAGCGCAGAACAGAACTTGCTGTTACCGAATGCACTGAGTGGATAATGTTCCATCGAGAACACGCCCAAAACAAGCCCATTCATTAAAAAAAGACAATACACGATAGCAAGTCGTATAACTTATAGTTTCGCCAAGGGCTTTTGTTAGTCCTCGGCTGTATCTGAAAAATTACTGGCAAAAATTTTGGTTTTTGCGGTTGTTTGGTGGCAAATCAACTTTGTGGAAGTCAAAAATCCGCGGGAAGAAAGGCACACACGTAAGGGTCAAACAGCTTGAACCAGGTGCTTCGTAAATGATGCTCCCCCTGTGAACCTTATTCTCCGTTCACCCCAACCATTTCAGCATACGCTCAGCTGATCTGGTCGTTAATTGACTAAGCGTGAGTTCCCCGTGCTCACCCACATGTCCAATCAACGTACGGCTGCCGTTTTAAGCCTGTCCCGTTTGACCGCCCTAGATCGAATTTACCATTGGGCAGTTAATCTTGTAAATGACGGCGACAGGATGAAGCAAAAGTCCAAGATATCGTATAATGCTGCATTTCGATTAGAAGAGTCAACTTCGCATATTAATTGTCGTACAGAATATTCCAAAGATATTTCAGTTACGTTGGGATGTCGGCTTTTGCAAAGGCTTCTTAGAGGCCGCCCTCAAAAGTATCCACTGTGAAAAGGACTGCTTAAACAGTATGCCTTTATCCTAATTATTTTAGTGTTCTTATGAATTCAAACATATGTCATGGACAACATGCATAAAAACTTTTTTTGCACTCTTTTGGTAGCAAACTACGTCTTTAGATACCATACTTGAAGAAAGGGTATAGTTCGGTTTCGCAAAACTTCCCAAGTTCCTCAATAAATTTAAATCCAACCTGCTTGTACGTCTGTATTTAAGTTGTCTAAGATATGTAGTTTGTGTGTAAGAAAAATCATACACCTATATACGCTAGTAAGAAAAGTTTGCATAAAGCTCGTAAAATTTTACATTGAAAGTGGCTCGTATAGTATTCATTGAAAGCAGTACCACTGGATGGAAGTATTCCATGTTCCTTCAATAGGCACTGCTCAGCCTTAAAAACTCATGATTCGGTAGTTTTTTTAAGCAGAAATACACCTCGGAAGAAACCGAAGTATGCTACCGAATGAGAACAAGGGTGAATATTTTAGGCCCATTATCTGTATAATATATGTAAGGGCATTGTTAATCAATTAAACAATGCATAGTACTATAGTAGTCTTTTTTGCAGAGGTGAGTGGAACTAGACTCCTTCAAAAGTCAACATCCTGGCGCGTTTAAAGTATCTTCGGACGATAATTACTATTCTAACTCTACTGAAGCAGTCTTCTCTAAGCTTAAACGCATTTCAATAATACAGGTAACACTTAATTTTACTGTGTATCTGCGTAATCTGATATCAGCGGCTCCAGAAACATATAAACCCCCGAGATACCCGTGGGAATTTTCTGCACCAAGCAAATTAGAAACATAAAGAGCCTTTTGCCGGCAAATCATGGGTACTACGGGAATTCCTGGTAAATATGTGTGTATGCATGCGTTACACGACTGATTTTAGACACCCAATAAACAAAAACGAAATTCTCAAGGCCGCTTTCAGCAAAATCGATTGCTTCACCAAGTCTGTGACAAAACTAAAACTATTTTGACCACTCTGATCAATATAGTTATGAGGGAGGCCTACCTAGAGGACTAGTATGCCACTTAACGTTTTCCCCAGTCCACAATTAAGCCGCCAGTCTCTGACTTCAGTAGACAGTTCTACTGCACACTTCTAGTGGACAGGTGACTAAGGCGGCGAATTGCTTGCGGCCAGGTAAGATCTAGAGCAATCCCACCTCCACCCCCGCCCTTTTTATGCATGTTTTCTTTCGAGGCGCTGATGAACAGCGGTTCGATGAAGTGTTTATGACCCATCTGGTAGACCCCAATGGTGGACCAAA